TTTTTGTATCATTTATATATTAGGGAATAGCACAAATTTCAATTTCAGTTTCAATTGATATCTTTCTCATTGGATCTATTTCTGAAAATGATTGCCTCTTTTTAACTAAAATGAGGGCACCCCCCGTTTTTTATTTTTTCTAGGATAGATAGATGCCATTTCATAGTTACCAAAGTATATAGAATAATAAGCACGTCAATATTATTTGCCTTCACAAACAATTCAGTTAAATTATAATTATTTAACAAACCCTGGACATTTACATGACAAATTTCTGTGGAAATATCACAGTTTAACCTATTGTTCATCTGGGAAGATTTAGGCTTGAAATCTTCTTTTATAGATTTTACGGATTGCTGCAGAAGTGCCCGTGGAATGAAAAATCACTTGCCAAATTTACTTTACATTATATTTCTAAATAGTATCAGGGAGCTTTTACACTTTCACCTGCATTTCCTCAATGATTGAAAGTGAAACCTTTTTTGTTGTTACTTCAGTCGAAAAATGGAAAGTACATACTATGCAGGTCAAAATATGGCATTGGTCGTATGGAAAGGTAGACTCAATTTCAAACAGTACCTTTCAAGAAGGTAAAGTTTCCCGTTTCACATTGTTTGCTTTGTTCTGATAATGTTTGGAATGGTCTTGAAAATTTTGATTTTGTTTGTAAGTGAATGTTCTGATGTCTACAAATGATCAAAAATTGAGTCACTGAATTTCGACGAATACTATGGCATATGTGATTTTTATGATTGGATCAATTCAAAAGTTCTATGATTCGCAATCTGAGATATCCGAAACTGTGGATACCGACAAGCCGAATCGAACATTATCCTTATTTGTGATTCACGAATGGAATGGTAGTAAAAATGAATATTGTCTATACTACAACGGGTTTTCTTGCCCAATTTCAACAAAAATTCTCTCGATATGCGTTTTGGAATACAGTTTTTTCACAAAGAACATGTCTTCCTTGTTGTTCATTAGATAAAATGACAGTTTTTTCGGTCTACCTGTACCGATTGATCCAATAATTGTTGTGACCTGAAAATCAAGCAAATGAAGTTGATACTTTTATAACCTACAGTGTTTTGGGCCTTGTGCTATTCTTAATTCATAGAAATGATATTTATTCCTTTCACAGCTGTGACTTCATCAACTCGTTTGCAGACGATGCCTTATTGTCGATGTCACTTCCTAACTTTTTTAAGAATGAAACACAAGCACAACAGGAAAATCCTTATGGCGCTCTCAAAGCGGTCCCTGTGTGATAGTAGAGATTCACATTGGATTTGAATATTGAAGAATCCGGTGCTTGGTTGAACGCATTACCTGTTGCTACTCTGGGTACACTATCAAATGATGATACTTCCAGGGTAGCCATTGGACTCAGATTGGGTTTAGATATTTGTACTCCTCATAAATGTATTTGAGGGAGTGGTGTAAATGAAAAAGGTAATCATGGTTTGAGCTGCAGAAAAAGTAATGGACGTTTTCCAAGACATCACCAAGTCAACGACATCATAAAAAGGGCCTTGATATCAGCCGGGATACCTTCTATCCAAGAATCACTGGGTACCAGCCGTGATGAAGGCAAACGGTCTGATGGAATGACCCTTGTTCCCTGGAAATGTGGCAAAGCTGTCGTTTGGAATTTCACATGTGTAGACACATTGGCTCCATCTCATTTAGCTGAAACGTCTAAAAATGCAGGTGCTGTCGCCTCAACCAGCGAGAAAGCAAAACAGTAGAAGTATCGAAATGTTGGAAATAACTTCATATTTCATCCTGTGGCTGTAGAAACTTTCAACGTATTTGATCTCTTATCTCTGAATTTCGTTAATGAAATTGGCAGAAGGGAGACTGAAGAAACTGAAGAAAAAAGATGTACCACCTTTCTGATTCACAAAATTGGTTCAGCTATACAGCGTAGTGATTCAGCCTCTGTTTGTGGCACTATTCCATCGTCACATTCACTGGATGAAATTTTTTCTTCATACCGTTGTTTCCAAATCATATTCACATCCTGATCACGACGACACATTGTTTTCTCATAAAACCTCCCATATTTCTTGTAATTCTTTCCATAAGTTTCCATCAGAAGATACTGACAAATATGATCAAGTTCTACAAGTATCTTCTTCTAGCAAATTCAATACGTCTACCATATCCAATTCAGTTTTGAACAGTTCAGCCTCAATTCCTTATCTCACCGATCCAATGAAAGGGTGAATCATCCAATCTGTGATTACTCAGAAGAAGACAGCAGTGAAAAACGTAGAATCAACATTAGTTCAGTGATACATTCTTCAGTCGGAACTCTTGGGTTTGATGGGTTGAAAAATATCGGCAACACCTGTTTCATGAACAGTGTATTCCAATGTTTAATAAACACGAAATGTTTGCTAGAATATTTGAAAAATCATACATACATGGAAGATATCAATACTAGTATCTCTACTATGAAAGGTGCTTTAATCAAAGCGTTCGCAGAAATTATCAAGGAATTGTGGTCAGAAGATTCATCTCACAGAGTAATAAACACTGCTCACTTGAAAAGTCAGATTCAAAAATTTGTTTCTCGATTCATGGGATCGGCCCATCAAGACGCCCAGGAATTTCCTTCGATATCTTTAAGAAGGTTTACATGGGGACCTCGAGAGAATTACGGAGATTGACGAAAATTTGAGCGACAGCGGAAAAGCGCAAGAGTCCTGGCTGAAATATTTAAACATGAACAACTCTAAAATTATAGACAATTTTGTTGGTCAATTGAAATCCACTATGAAGTGCACAGTAACCTTCGATCTTTTCTGGGATTTATCTCTCTCCATACCACAAAGAACTGACCAAGTGAGTTTGTCACAATGTTTGGATTCCTTCACGAGAGAGGAAACTCTGGATGGAGATGAAAAAACAACGTGTTCGAGGTGCAAGGAAAGGAGAAAATGCACAATGTCCCTATCAATCCATAAATTTCCCCGTATTTTAGTAATTCATTTGAAATATTCTCTCCAACGGAAAGATTCAATGACAAATTGAATGTTGTCATCGACTTTTCTTTACAAGGATTAGATATAAGCAATTATGCAGCAGACAATGTGGCCCCTTGTCGTTATAATCTATATGCACTTTCGAATCGCTGTGGGACTACTTACAACGGGCATTACACAGCATATTGCAGACACCCATATGGTGGCGCGTGGCATGAATACGATTCACATGTGTCCCCAATTTCACCTAACTCGCTTGTGAGTGAGGAGGCATATCGTGTTATCCGTGTTAGGAATCACACGTTAAAAGGTAAGACCTCGTTAATCCTTAGCTCGCACAAGTTTCGACTTCTGAGGGTAGTCGTTCGTAGAGGTGCGACAGCTGGTTAACGGAAAAACAGATTTTAAACAGATTTTAAACAGATTTAAACAGATATGTCCTCTTTTATGGACAGGAGAGAACGAAGCAACACTTTTGAGGTGTTTTTTTTCTCTTAATAAAATGAAATAAGTTTAAAATACAACATGATTTATATGAGTGAGAATAAAACTCCCCGTAGAATGAACCAAAAAGTATTTAATTCCAATCTCATCATGTCCTTATGTGTTTCATATAGTTTATTTTCTATTATTCATGCTAATTTATTTTTTACAGTCCATATTGATTCATTGTATAGAATTCTCTAACATGTTCCATTTCGCTTGATTAGAGGTTTCCATATGTTACGTATCTCTACGCTAGCTTGACTAAATGCGTTGTTAGTCAAGCTAGCGTAGAGATACGTAACATATGGAAACCTCTAATTAAGCGAAAAACGACCAATTCCCGCCTAACGATCATCTCCCGCCAAAACCAATGAAGCGGAAAGAGGGAAGAGTGGATAGGTGAAAGCACTCGAATGACCTATAAATAGTCAGATTTCCAAGGAATAAGTCCAGTTATCACCCGAAGACGATTGTGGATACTAACAATTGAAACGTTGTGACATAAGTTGGTTTGAGATCTTTTAATTTATATTTTTTCATTGTTTGTTGATATTATTTTTAATTTTTTCAATTCTTTCAGCTTTTATTAATATTTCAATTTTTCACCCTGCAGAAACAGTTAATCCTTTGACATCGAACTGACCCCGCCACAGGGAGGTCAGGCCAGGACATTTGATACTTTGTCCACTCTAAACACACTTCAAATGATGGTGAACCGAACGTTATTTAGTTTGCGTGAGCTTTCGTCCATTCCAAATTCGAAATGCACATCAAGTTTTACTTTTCTTTATTTGTTTCGTACTGTTGAGAGTTCTGTAGAACCGGCCAACTTCAATTGATATATGCAATGGCTCTGTTGTAAATATCGGAACTGAATACAGTTCGGCGACAGAGTTTTGTAAATGTCAGCTCTTTAAATTCTCCACTGTATACACAACAACTCAGGAAGGTAACGACTTTGAAAGCAGCAGGGGAGGTTGATCTGTTTTTCTGGAAACCGAATTGATTGAGACTCGCTGAAAAAGAATCTGCTTTCAAAATATGGCTCTAGCTTATTACGTTTCGGCAAAGTCTCATTTGCCATCTTCTGGTGATGGACTAGTCTAGTCTTGATGGATCTTAAATATAGGGTTACGATCAGTGGTTGTGTAATGTTCAGTGCATCAAACCCTAGGCCATTTGATATTTTTTCCAAATCTTTCACCCTCTGACATATTTTTTTCTGTTAAAACAAGCAGGTGAACCTTATTTTTTGGACTCCCTCCTATGTAGGTGCGAATGAGTGAATCTACGGTGACGAGTATTGAAAATGACACCAGTTGAATACAAAACCTATTTTCGAAAGTTTTAATTGAATCCCTGTTGGACCTTACCGTTTACAAAATTAATTTATATTTGAAAAAACTGCTGTTATTAGCCTATACGTATTAACCACTATCAAGAAAACATTGGATACAAAATGTTTTCCATCCTATATTTCTTTATTTTCTGTCCTTTGAGAAGGTACTGAGAAGGAAGAAATTGACTCTCAATACTTCAAGCTTTATTGAAAAAAAAATCATAACATTGAAACATCGTCATAGCCACGTATTATTCGTCTTCGAAATCTGTTGGTGCTGACGGCGGAGGCCCTTTGACAAAGTTACCAGCCTTGAGTCTCTCTTGCAATCTCGAACAACTTTTTGAATCTTTGACTTTGTCTTCTGGACAGTTCAGCTGAATATTTTTGAAAATGCAGTGATCCAATTTTATAGCCGTCACCGTGCAAGAATCTTCTGGAGCTGCCTTTTGAGTGCTATTCTTCACTTCTTCAAGGCAAGTAGAGATAATCTTTTCCTGAAGGGGAAGAAGGTAGTCTTCTTTTTCCAGAGCTTTCTTTATGTATTTTTCGAAATCTTCAGGTTTCACGTTGCCATCGGTGTCAATCTGTGAATGAAAAGACATAAATGGAAAACTGTTAATGTGCAAATTTGAAAGGGTTTTTGATACTCAACAAATATTTTATACGACTCGACAATATAAACAATATTTTCTGTTTATTAATTTGAATTATTATTATTTTCTCTTTCGTTCTTTCGTATAATATTTTTTGTGCGAAGTTTTCGAAATTATGTAGACAATAACAATTGTAGGTGAAAATGACGAAAGTTTGTTATTCTTTAATTAACTGATCTGTTATATAATTCTATAGAATTTAAGCAGTATTATTAGTTCAACTGATCACCTTTTTCTCACTTTTGTTCAAAAATTACTGAGTTTTGACCAAAAACCTGTCGCATGGGCATCGATCAGGAATTGTTCAATAAATGACTTCAACGGTGATACTGTGAAAAAGGTATTGTGGAAAAAGAATTCATGGCTTTTGCATCACAATAATGTAACTGCTTACTTATCATTACATGTTCCTAATTTTTTTTGACAAAAACAACACAGTATTCATTCCATAGCCACCGCATTCACTAGGTTTGTCCCCCTGTGACTTTTTCTATTCCTAAAGTTGAAGAGATCCATGAAAGAACTGCTTCGAGGATTAACAAAAATGCTGGCAAAAGTGTATAGTAACCGAGAGGGGCTACTTTGAAGCGGCGACATTGAAATTGACGAATAAAAGAATATTTTTTGAAAAAAATAAAATTCACTTTAGTTTTTGGAAAGATCTGTATATCAAGTATTCAACTGTGTTTCATTTTTTACATAACACATTCCAAGTTTCAATATCAGGGTAAAGTTTGTAATGGTGTCTGATTTTTTTCTCAGTCACTCGAATTTCAATCAGTCCAGTGATTTTAGATATCATCATTTTTGAGAATTATAATGAATTGTTTGTTATAGACGTGCACAAGCACAACAATATTTTGTTTTTGTGACTCAGCTTTTCATTTCCATTTTCATATGTATTTCATATTGCTTTTTCATTAACACGCTTTCATTAGTTCGTAACCGACTAATTTGGACTCGATTTTGACTAACTTTAAACGGACAGATTGATTTGAAACTTTCTACACACATCAAGAATCGCTCACAATAGAATAATTTCATTTCATTATCCTGATTAGGGTCGTCAGGATTAAATAATTCCCTCACACAGTCTCTGTGTGAGGACTAGCAAACCAAATTAGAATGTGGAAAATAAATAATAGTTTGAAGACTTTGAAAAACACGGTAAGTCTAAAGTGTTGAATATTCATTGTTATAAATACTTGGTTAGGAGCTCTTTGCCAGATTGTAGCCATAATAAAAATATAATTTGAAGCATTCCACGCTTTTTTACAATAAAATAAGTTTTTATGTAAATAGATTCATTCTGATTTCAGACTTATTGAAAGTCATTAGTTACATCAAGCCATAGGGCTTATTATCGACTTCAAACACAGTTCGTGTTGCATTTTAGTTTATATCTTTATTATAGATAGTTTTCATGGTGTATGGCCAAAAAAACCTCAAACATGCCATAAAATTAAAATTGACTCACGATCATATCTCTTCTGTGCTGCTCCACTTTCTCGCAATTGAATGGATCAAACAGATTTTCGCGAGGTCCATGGCGCTTTTCTTGTCGTTGGGGTTTCTCTTTACCGGTGATATCTTTGAAGCATGCTCTCTTGATGTCTCTCTTCTCTTCGTGAATACTGTTCATGGCTTCTTCGGCACAGCAAACTCTTGGTCTTCCTCTTCTTGATGGATGACATTTATCATCTTCCACTGCCTTTTCATCTCTGCGCTGACGAGGGGGCGTGTAGGAGAATGAATATACGTCTTCTAAGTCATCTGCTAGAAATTGGTCTGAAAAGATACGTAACTTGAATATTTTCATTGAAAATCATAAGACTATACTATAGACTACTTTTTCAACTCGACAGGATTCACCATTCACTGAGAAAGGAAAAAGGCAAAGTCCAGCAGTCACAAACTGCTCAAACCTCAGTTATTATGGACTCCGTTCTTCCCATAAAACTAAAAAAATTAGCCAAGTCTACCCAACTTCAATGAACAATATCGTCCGCTATAGGACATTGTCATATCGTGATGAATCCATCAATAATATCGCTTGTTTTCAAAAAAAGAATGCTTGGACGTGGCTCACAGAACAAATAAAAATTCATGCTTACCTATTGAAACAATGGAGACAAAACATCAGTGGCAGACAGATCAACTTTATGTTGGTCAAAAGGGGTCAACCTTTTCCCAAAGAATTAAAGATCATAAAAGTAGTTTCGTAAATAGAAAGACCAATTGCACATTTGCAAACAATCTTTTATCAGAAGAAGCTTGAAACTGAAAATGTTTACAAATAAATATACTGAGGAATCCAAGTCATTTACTGAACGATTAAATAAAATTAAATAACCCCCGCTACTGAATGTACTGATGTATGAGCACAAGTTATTTCATTAAGTACATGTTTATTCCAAAGTTTGTACACTTTCCCCTCTTTTCTTATGATAATGTTAATGGATTTATTCTCAACCACAGGTACATATTTTCATACACATTAGTTGGGTAGGTAATGCATTGAAGGTAGACTGTGAATATGTAGATTCTAGTTAGTATAGACACGTGTGAAGAAGCTATTGCATAGCGAAACAAGTGTTGGGTTTTTGTAAAACTCTTTGGTGAAATCTCAGATTAATGTGTTTCTTCAAAACAAAAGGGAGTAGTTAGTCAAAAAGCCGCACACGAAATACTCTGANCAATATATAAGTTTGAAAATGTCCTAATAGGACGAAACTGCAGTAACGTTAGTTACAAATAAAAGTGGTAAAAACATAGAAAGTGTCAATTCTCTTTTCTTCATTATGATTTCCTACCACGTAATAACTGTTTGTATTTTGTGATGATTGGAAACGAATAAATGAGTGATTGCTCATATGCAAACCAGTTCCATTATGATCAGAATATATTTTTCCACTTGTTGAAAATTGAAAGATGCTTCTGTTTCTAAACAGAATCAAACGTGAACATATTTTCCAGATAGCTAAATTCCAAATCGAAATGTATCATGTTTGTAATGGTATAAACTCTGAAACATATAACTGTCACGAAAGAGACGTGAACGGTTCACATTTCTCACCTCAACTCGACTGAGTTTTCTACCCAGTTCACGGAAATAATAATATTCACCCTGCAGAAACAGTTAATCCTTTGACATCGAACTGACCCCGCCACAGGGAGGTCAGGCCAGGACATTTGATACTTTGTCCACTCTAAACACTCTGTTAGTGGTTCTTTGATCGAGTGCCTATAGTAGGATTTCCATTTATGTATTTGATGAAGATACCTTCTTCCCCACCTTCTTCCCGTTTCTTCAATTTCTCCAATACTCTCTTGAATTGTTCTCGTTGTAGTTGAGTTATATCGGTACTCATATGAACACCAAAACTCATTGATTTGAGTTTGAGTTTGGATTTCAGAATAGTCATGACGTCATCTTTCGAAGGTAGTAGCTACACTTGGCTTCTTAACGAATCCGATTAGTTTGTATGGTGAGTGGTCTTCCAGGTCAGATGGTGAGAGTACGACTCTGCAAAACTCTGAAAACCTGATTCGGTTCCCAATGGGACAGGCACAAAGTATGTGATCTGCTGTTTCATCATTTCCCGAACAGAGGCGACACACACTGTCTTCCGACAGTCCTAGTCTCTGCATATAACGATTCAAATGACAGTCACTGCCATTATATGCAGTGTACTGTCAGTGACAGTCCAACATTTGTTAGGTCTCAAGCTTCGAAGGGTGAATTAATGCTTTGGAGTGAGCCAATCCTGGAAGATTCTGCGAGAAGTTTATTTGACAAAGCGTAAAGCGATGCCAATGACAGGTTCTGGTTCGATGAAGCTGCTTGCAGCACCCTCCTTTGTAAGGGAGTCAGCAGCTTCATTGCCTTCCAGGCCAGTGCTGCCAGGAATCCAGACCAGCGACAATTTGTTGAGTCTTTCTACCGAGGAGAGTCGTTTTTTTGCAATTTGCTGATTTTGATGTTGCTTGGTAGGAGCCAAAAGCTTCCAACGCCGCTTGACTGCGCGAAAATAGTTTTATTGACTTGTGTATGAGGTAGGATTCTTCCAATTTTCGCTACTATTAAGATTTACCAAGATCTGATCTTACTCCTAATATTGTGTACAGATGCATCTGAATTCAATTTGGGTGCAATCTTTTCATGGTCACAATTACCATATTACTCAAGAGATTATCATTTATAACCCTCAAATATTGAGAATAAAAAAATCCATTTCATAAACTAATCTCTATTCTGTTCTTTATATTTTTCAAATTGAATAATCTCCGTAGTTTTTGGCAAGTAGACGACGTTGTTATTCATTAAACTGGTAAATAAGGGAGAGTGGAATTGTTTGAATCTAAAGATAAATATCCATAAACTTTTTTGGGCACAAAATGAAAACGAATTCAATGTTGATTATGAAATTTTCATTTGCCATGGTTCTACTCAAAAACAAGTTCACATATTTGAATTGAAGGGGTTATATTTTTAGGAGTGATTCATTTTTTGGAAAAGAAAGTTTTTGGCTTTCTACTACTCCATCTTGATACAAAAAAATGTGGGAATCTTCCAAAGAAAGGAAGGAAGTAACCAATTTTTATTCCGTGACATTAAAAGTCGTAATTCATGAATGATTTGGTGTATTTTCTATAATGTTATCCAATTTGGTACTGACGAGCCCTAAGGCAAGTGTCTTATGGCGAAACATCGATATTTACCAGTGAGGATGATGGTGTTCCATGTAAGTGCAATTTATTACCATTCATTTGGAGTAGAACTCATGTGAATGATATTTGAATTGCATTCCATAAGGAATGTTCGGAATACAAACTGAGTAGAGAAAAGTATCTTCTGTATAATTCAGTGTTCATGTAAAAGTATTTGTTTTGAGAGAATATTTTCTTTCGTGTAATTCAATGTTTATATGAAAGTAGCTGTTTCAAGAGGGCTTTTTTACAGTTCGTGTCTGAAAGTTGCTTCTTTGCATGATCTACACATCCATGAATAGAGTTACTTATTTTCAAATTGATTACTTCCTACCTTTCTTTGGAAGATTTCCACATTTTTTTGTATCAAGATGGATAAGTAGAACTCCTGTGAATGATATCTGAATTGTATTCCATAACGAATGTTTGGAATACAAACTGAGTAGAGAAAAGTATCTTCTGTATAATTCAGTGTTCATGTAAAAGTATTTGTTTCGAGAGAATATTTTCTTTCGTGTAATTCAATGTTTATATGAAAGTAGCTGTTTCAGGAGGGCTTTCTTACAGTTCGTGTCTGAAAATTGCTTCTTTGCATTATCTAGACATCCATGTATAGAGTTACTTATTTCAAAATTGATTACTTCCTTCCTTTCTTTGCAAGATTTGCACATTTTTTTGTATCAAGATGGAGTAGTAGAAAGCCAAAAACTTTCTTTCCCAAGTTCACATACCTTTCACCTGATCATAGTTTGATAAAAGAATTTGTGTTTCCTTTGAAAATAGGTAATTATTGATATGAAAACGTTGAGAACAGTGCTAGCAGTCAGATAATCATCATTTATGATCCTCAAACGTAGAGAATATACAAAAAATTATTTCATGGACTATTCTACATATTCGATTTCTACCGATGAACTTTATATAGTTTTGTTGAATATTTGCGATATTTCAGGACTGAAATACCATGAAAATAATTGAAATTTGTTACGATTCAAATTTATGTAGGAGTAGTTTTTCACACAAAATTAATCAATAGTTCAAACAATATTGGAAAACAATCGTACAATTTTGTCAACTTGGACACCATTAGGTACTCACTCGTATTCTCTTTATGAAATCATGGTCAACAATGTGTATAAATATACCTGATAGACATTCAGTGTGAACTAAAGTCTTCATGAAACTCGAAAGTATCCGGTTTCAGTCACAAATATCTGAACGTAGCAGGTGAGAATGAATGAGCGAGTTTTCAATATAAGCCGTGGAAAAACTGGTGCATATAAAATATGAATAAAAAAAACCTTAAGAAAAATCCCCGACCAATGAATATTTGATGGTTTAAAGCCGGGAAGAGACCGGCGAATGACTGGATGAATTGCAACCAGAGCAGAGAACATACATTATTTAAGAGATAAATCTCAGAAAGTTCTGCAGAACCACAGAACTAGTTGTTATTCATACTGTTTGCAACTTGCAAAAATAATCACCTCGTTACCAAAGTAGCTGATATATACGTTATTTGCAGACAAAAACGAAAAGTTTCACTAGGTAGGTATTATGAAAATAGACTTACTGAAATCGGGATCATCGAAATTGTAGGCAGCTATGGAGGCGACCAGCAGGGCAGAGAGAACACAATAAGTTACTGGTTTACACATGATGATGCGCATTCTAAGCACTGGAGATTAGATGCCGGGCCTCTACTTATATATCACAATTCATGTTACAAATTGCCATCCTGCTTTACGGCAGAGGCTCCACATACCTGTTAGTAGATGGGGGCGAGTGGAGAAGTGAATCCTACGCAGGATTTTCCAAATGACACTGTTACTGAAGAACTCTTAATGATAGTTTCCAATGGAACATGTTTCGTTCTTGGAGTTTCCATTCAGAAAAGTTGCGAAAACTCTCATAGAATTGATTCAAATCCACCGGAAAACAAGTATGGATGAAATAGAGACTAATATCAAAATTATATCTCTTCTCGAAACACTAAATTCAAGTCATTCGACGTCAAGAGTGCAAATTTCACTGTGGGTTATTGGACGACATCGATCAGAAAACAACTACTTCCCTGGCTAATAATACGAAGGGCGTTGGGTCATATCTTACAGGTGTCGTTGCAGGATTTTTCACATAAGTAATTCCTGCTTACGCTGTTGGCGATACAACTACTGGAATCGATTTTCAATTATTAAAACCGGCATACTTGCAGACCGTTTTCGGGCTATTCAGCCTCTGAAATTGATTCAACTTTTGATTATGGGAAATTATCGACAACCGGTTAATGATAAACATAACTTTGCACTGAAAAGAGGCAAAATAGCCCGAAACCGGTCTACAAGTGTGCCCGTTTCAATAATTGAAAATCGATTCCGGAATTACTTTTGTGAAGAATCCTGCACTGATACCGATCGGACATAAGCCAATGTCTTTCGTGGTATTAGCAAAGGGAGTAATTGTTTTCTGATGGATTCAAGTCCATTGATCCACAATATAGGTGAGTTAAGACTAGCCTGAATCAATTAATCATTTAGATAATTTGATTTACAGTCAGTCAGTCAAGTGAGCCCAATTACTATATGTGGAACTTTTATTCTAGCTATGAAAGGCTGTTTGAGTTCCTTACCAGGTGAAATATTCACAGAAATCTATTAAAATCGATTAATGTATATCAGATATCGGTACAATGTAGGTATTTAAGAAACATTACACGTGTTTCGCTATACAATACGAGTAGCTTTTTCAGGCGTGTATATATTCTGTATATAGTCTGTATATCTATGCTGATATAAATATGAACTTTTTTGAGGATGCATGTTTGTATGTTTGTTTGTGGTCAAAATATAACAATAAATACCAAGTTATTCGAAAAAATTCGAGTTTCCTGGGCACAGAAACTTCTGGTCACCTGGATTGATATGGCATCAAAAAGAACTATGAGTTCAAGTCAACTTGTACGCTGCACTGCAGCCTCAGAGATGATGCTGAAGTAAGGCTACCTATCGGGCGCGTCTCCAGGTGGTGGTTAGGGGAACGGCCAGGGGACTGGAGGCCCTGTCCGGGATGCCAATGTGGCCTTACGGACGGAGTCGTCGGACTCCTAGTAAGTGGCAGAAATAAGTAGGGTGAGGGGAACTGAAACCCCCCAAAAGCGTTTGCAAAACATGCAAGTCACCGTAGAGCAGCCTACCCAAGCTAAGGTGTAAGGAATCGTGCCGACAGCTGAATGGCCACAGGGTGATATGTAGTCACGAACGATCTCCTTGGGGAACTGGGCGAAATCTCATTGTAATCAGCCAACCACTAGTTATACGGGTCTCTGCCAGAGGTGACCAATTCTTCCCTTGCTATTCGTGGAAACACACATGAATAAAACCAAATTCAAAAACAGAAACAACAAAAACAAAAACCAATCCCGAGGCTGGACAGAAGTGCTCACCTCAATCTAAGGCGGTGGCTGGGGTTGAACAGAAATGTCCACCCCAATCCACCGCTTGAAATGAGGCTGGACATAGCATATCACTTCTTGATGTAATACAAAGGCCAAGTGGTAAGCGCATTTGAGGTGCCAAGGCCAAAAGGAGAAAAAAAGCGAAGGAAGCAGGAGTGGCAGCAACTATAAGTGCACCCTTCTCCTTTCCCACTCCACCTAAACAGCAAGGACACTTCCTGTGGCGGGCGCCAAGATCTTCCCTTTGAATAAAGGCAAGGAACCGGCTGCTTCTGCAGGAGAGCTCCCTCACTTGTGCACCTCCACGGATGAAACCCCCAGAAGGTTGAAGAAGCAGCGCAACGACAGTAATATCGCTGCATCTTCCGAAACCTTCGCGGAGGCCACCGTAAAACAACTCAAGGTTGCCAAAGAGACTTTGTGTTCGGCGAATCTTGCCCCCCTACACCTGCCAATATGAAGGAGATGTCTCTTAGTGACCTGTTCACCTTTTTGGAAAGGGCAGGATGGACGATGACCTAGGAGGACAACTCCTCCGGAGGATGTACAATGGATCACATGTGGCCTAAGTGCTGTGGTTCTAGACTCGATCTCCCTACTCTACAGATACAGATAATGCTGAAGTTTTCACCATTCGAAATGAACCCATTCGAAACCAAACAATCTACGTGGATATGCTTGCTTTTGCTTCACAATTTCAAAGCAAGGTAAGAATATAACGAGGTAATTGTATCCAGATACATATGGATGGAACACTAATTGTGGAGAAATCACAGAACGAAGATTCAACTTCTTCAAATACCTCTCATCTACCTCTATTTGAAACGAAAATCACCTTTTTTGAAAACTGAAAAAAGAAGAAACATATTTCAGGAGATGGCCACAATGTTGGTGAGTTTCACTCGAGAAAGCATGAAACCATGGTCTATTTCCCGGATTTTTGAAATCGTTATTTGGGCATCAAAAATCAACAGTTGACTCGGTCAACATTGGTTCATAATGACAATGTATTGCAATAATGTGCGTACGTCAATCGCAACGTATAATTTGCGGCACGTTGACTTGTATTCCCGTATGCTCTACAATGAAAAACTGAAAAAATCGAAAAATCCTACTATTTCATAATATATAAGTCGAATCCAGTGCCACACATAAATCCTGAATTTTCACACCTGAAAAACGATGTGAATATTTGTAAATATTTGTATTCTTAAAAACAATTACGTTATATTTGAATTGCTTGTTAACTCCTAATTGCGAATTCTACGTAACAGGTTATTTAGAAGAAAAAAAATAGCGTTTAAGTTCTGAAAGTTTTTTTATAGGTTTTGAACGGTTGTGTGACCTTCATGGCCTTGTTTGTTTTAGAAAATCCAGTTTGAGATATCATCTGTAGAGAACCGTTAGTAAATGTCTGCCTGGAGATTCGCACATCAGGTTGATATTAATTCAGAACTGTGCAAGTGATTATATAGACGGAGGATGAATGTGCTTCTCTTGATCATGATAATGGATGCTGGTTTCTTCGAAATGATTTGATTGTTTATCCAACCTGTTTTCGATGCTAAGAACCGCGAATAATTGTTCTTTGTAGTATTAGTAGGTGAAAAACACAGCCACGGTTTGTAAATCACTATCGTTGTTTGCATCATTTTGGAAGATTACAGAATGAGTTTGAAAAAAACACAATCAAATAAAATACATTTCATGAATGATTATGATCCGCCACCATTGGATAAATATATTCTTCCACTATCTCAAGGATTGAAAAAAATCGGTGGTTTACCGATCTTTCTACAAGAATTTCTGAACATTGACGATTGATATCGGCCATCTTGTTGAAGCTACATCAGTCAAATTAGTAGTTATTCATGCAGTCTGGTTTGCCAAATCACCATTCAGAGATATATCATTCAACAACACGGGCAAATAATAAATGGGTGTTCTGTTCGGGCAACTTACCATGTGATTTGCCCATTTTACCGTCGACATACTCCTCCTTCCGGGAGGACTATTCGCAATGCGGTTGTTCAGTATATAATCGATCAACACCCGTACGTCAGCGAAACGCAAAATCTGTCGAAAATATCGCCGCTGTCTGTGAGAGTATGCAGGAGAATTCGAGGCAGTCGATTTTGGGTCGGTCACAAGAACTAGGCCTTTCTCAGACCATAACGTGGCTAATTTTGTGTCATGACTTGGGCCTGTACCCGTAAAAAATTCCACTGACCCAGAAACTATAGGTAAACGAAGATAGACAATGAAATGTGTTCGCTGAATGGGCTCTGGAGCAGTGACAGTCTGGAGCAAAAAGTCACTGTTTGGTGTGGATTTGGGGCTGACGGCTTCATGGGTCCATCTATTTTGAGAACGACATTCACATGAGATCCAAGAATGTCCAATGCATTCCAAAAAGTCACTCTTTGGTGTGGATTTTGGGCTTACGGCGTCATGGGTCCATTTTTCTTTGAGAACGACGTCCAAATGAGATCCCAGAGGGTCCAATGCGTCCCGTAAAGTAACTGTTTGGTGTAGATTTTGGGCTGACGGCGTCTTCGATCCATTTTTCTTCGAGAACGACGTTCACATGAGATTCAAAAATGTCCAATCCATCCCGAAAAGTCACTGTTTAGTTTTGATTTTGGGCTGACGGCATCATGCGTCTATCTTTTTGAGAACGACATTCACATGAGATCCAAGAGTATCCAATGCATCCCGAAAAGTCACTGTTCGGTGTGAATTTTGGGCTGACGGCGTCATGGGTCCATTTTTCTTTGAGAACGACGTTCAAATGAGATCCAAGAGTCTCCAATACATCCCAAAAAGTCACTATTTGGTGTGGATTTTGGGCTGATGGCGTCATTTTTCTTCGGGAACGATGTTCAGATGAGATCCCAGAGGGTCCAATGCGTCTCAAAAAGTAAATATTTGGTGTGGATTTTGGGCTGATGACGTCTTCGTTCTATTTTTCTTCGAAAACGACGTTCACATGTGATCAAAAAATATCCAATCCATCCCGAAAAGTCACTGTTTGGTGTGGATTTTGGGCTGACGGCGTCATGAGTCCATCTTTTTTGGGAACGACATTCACATGAGATCCAGGAGTGTCCTTTGCGTCCCAAAAAATAACTGTTTGAGTTGGATTTGGGGCTGACGGCATCATGAGTCCAGTGCATCCCAAAAAGTCACTATTTGGTGTGGATTTTGGACTGATGGCATCATGGGTCCATTTTTCTTCGAGAACG